GTCGGAGGAAACTCGGAGGAGTGAGGAGCGGCGCGCTGCTGCCCCTCGACGCAAGGAAGACACGGCGGGGCAGGAGAGCGCAGGAGGGAGGGCAGGGACTCGGGAAGGCCAGAGACTAGGAGACGGGAGTGCATGCTGTGGAGACGCGGCAGCGAGGGGTGACCGAGGCGGTGGTGCCAGAGGAGAGTCTGGTGGGAGAGTACCCGACACGAGCAGGACGCTGCAAGCTGACCAGACGCAGACACCTGACCTGACTCAGCCACCTGTGCAGACGCAGTGGTAAGTGTGTACAGACTAGACCCAGGCCGTCGAGTGAACGTAGCAAGGTGACGGCCAGTCCGGGAGCACGTACAGATCGCCACACGCTGCCCTCCAGGAGTAAAGGTATCAACCCAGACATCCTGAATGGCAGCGTTGCTCACCAAGATCGTAGAGAACGTGGGGAGGTGGAGACCTGACAAAGAACCGGAGGGGACTGCTGGACACAGGAGGACAGTGGAGGACCGTGCGACGACTGGGCCCCCAGTGGGGTCAGCCAGTGAGACCGCGACCGGGGCAGCTAGTGGAGTGAGTGTGGTGGCGTCACGAAAGAAACAACGAGACGCGCCTAAGACAAGTGTGAAAGTGTGCAGGGCCTCAGCGGAGGCAGCGGGCTCACTAGCACCTGGTACAGCAGACACACTGGCACCTAGAGCTGCAGCAGACTCACTATCACCAAGAGCAGGAGCATCACCAGAGACACACGAGTAACACGCACCGTCATCACTAGACTCAGTCACATACATAGCATATAGAGCCTTGTAGATCTGAACAAAATCAAGAGCATAAATATCTACTCCCATCCGCCACAGTTTCAACCAGTTGGGGAGAGCCAGCTCAGTCCCGTACTCATCCACCCAGACATCCTCAAGACGACCGAAGCAGCGGTACTCAGTGTGCGGCTTCCCGCAAGGCTGACCCTTTAGCTTCCCAGTGCGCCGGACATACGGGCAGCGCCCAGAGCCCCCAGAGGCACCACTCCCGACCACCCACTCACGGAGCTGCTGCGGGGTGGGGTTCTTCGGGAGGCGCGGCAGCTGCTGTCCACCCCCAGAGCCTCCACCGCCACGGGTGGGACCGCCACCGCCTCCACCCTTGCCAGCCCCACTCCGACCTCCTCCACCACCCCCGCCGCCTCCACCACCCCCGCGGCCTCCACCGCCACGTCCGCCGCCACTGCCGCCACCCCCAGAGCCGCCCCCACCGCCTCCACCCCCGCCCCCGCCACCCCCGCCACCCCTGCCACCCCCGCCACCCCCACCGCTGTTGCCACCCCCACCACCCTTGCCCCCTTTGCCCTTGCTGTTGTTGCGCCTTCCACTAGGAGCAGACGCAGCGCCAGCCTCCTCAGCACCAAGGAGGTCGACAGTAGCAGCAGTAGCAACTGAGGGGAGGAGAGGGGAGGGAGAACATCCTTCAAAGAAGGGGGAGCGGGGAGTGCCGCGAGAGGTAGCGACAGCATTGGTGCTCTTCTCTGCCTCGAGAAGGGACTTCTCGAGCGAGTCAAGCATGAGCTCAGTGGGGTCAAGGGCTAGGAACTGGTCCCTGTCAGTGCGAAGGGAGTCAGGGAGGCGAGTGACGAGGAGGTACAGGGTGAAATACTGCGGGGGGGGGTTCTTAGCGAGAAAGTCCGGCTTGAGAGCGGAGCGGAAGCGAGCCTCACTAGTGCGGAGGTGGGTAAAGAGGTCAGCGACAGTGGTGAAGGTGGCTAGGTCCGGATGCAGGTACGGCAACATGAGACGGCCTACGGCAGCAGTGACCGGGGAGGAGTAGCGAGCGACGACAGCGTCATAGAGGGCCTGGGCTGTTTTCTGCTGGCTAAAATGCGCTCGTTCAGCGACAGGAAGGTGGTTGCGAACCGCAAGGCGGGCAGTGGCATCACGAATCATCCACTGAGTATGAGCAGCTATCTCTGTGGCAGGTGGGGTGGGGAGGGTTCCGTCGGTATGGGCTAACAGGGGAACTCCATCCTTCGCTTCGCTCTGCAGGAACAGCCGGAGGTCATCGAGCCAGATGTCAAAGTCGATCGCGCGGCCCTCAGCGTCGAAACTAAGAACGGAGACGGTAGTCATAGTAGCAGTAGCAGCAGCAGCAGCAGCAGCAGCAGCAGCAGCAGCAGCAGCAGCAGCGGCGGCAGCAGCAGCAGCAGCAGCAGCGGCAGCAGCAGCAGCAGCAGCAGCAGCAGCAGCAGCAGCAGCGGCAGCAGCAGCAGCAGCAGCAGCAACAACAGCACAGTAGGGGCAAGGCAGTGCGGGTCTGGCAGGGCGGCGCGGCTCGGCAGGGCAGGGCGTAGCAGCGGCGCAGCAGCAGTGGCAGCAGCGCTTGCAGCAGCAGGAGCAAAAGTAGTTGCAGCAGCAAGTAGCACATCGCGGAAAAGGGAAGGGCGAAAAACAACTGAAAAGTTACTGCCCCGTAATTTTTCCGTTGCATTGCGCTCGCAAAAAAATAGTCTGAGTCGAAAACAGTGGTAGCACAGGTCACTTGCGAAGTGACTTTGCCGTCACTTTCTTGGCGAAAACTGTACACCTTGGGGCAACTGTAAGGTGTACAGTAAAGCAACCAGGGAGTTGCTAAACGTCACTTTTGGGCAACCTAGGCGAAAGTGTATCTGAGCGGCCACGTGGCAAACGACGTACTCGAGATGAAACTGAAACATGCTGACGTGGCTGGCAACGTACGCTAACGACAACCGTCAGATCAGATTAAAATCGACGCACTTGAACGCACCTTGTCGACCAATCACAGAGCATTTTAGGTGTGCGAAAACGATTTCCTATTGGCGAACGATTGGATTCTATTTAGCCAGTTTCGATACACGCTACAGTTGCTTAGTTTAACACAAATGAGCGGATATTGTCAGAAGAATAGCGAGAGTAAGGAGCCATAGCTAGGGTTTACCTAGCTAGGCAAGCGAGAATTAGACAAAGGAGAGGGTTCACTAGCAGCAGTTGGGATACAAATAGCTAACCCTAACTGGGCTGTACTCGCTATAGAGCACCCCACTGCAGGCTAGATAATTTAACATTCTGACACACCCCCATAGCCAAAGTGGGGTGTAATCAGCACAATGAGCAGGCATAGCAGTAGTTCACAATTATAAGCAAAGCTAGTGGTAGTCACAGCGGGCAAGTGAGGAGGAGGAGGCGGGACTGTAAGAGGAGAGAAGATAGGAGGCGACGGCTGAAGCTGCAGACACACGGGCAACAGGAGCGGCTGGCACAGTGGCTACCGGGACAGCGCCCCGGACTACTGGAGTAACTGGCTCGGCGGCTACGAGGAGCGGCAGGAGCAACGGACCCACGGGCGACAGGCGCAGCAGGCTCTCTGGGCTACCAGGACAGCGCCCCGGACTACAGGTGCTGCGGACGACAAGACGGCAGCCTCCGCTCAACCTCCCCCAACTGTCCCACCCCTCCTTTCACACACCCCCTGCTGAAACCCTAGCTCCACTCCCACGGCACCCCCCTTAAACCCTAAACCCTCGGCTCCCACACACCCACCCCCCTCAGCGGCAGCTGCAGCAGTGGGAGACGGAGGAGGAGGAGGAGTAGGGGACGGTTCACACAACCGCCACCCCCATAACCGCCACCCCCACACTCGCCACCCCCAAACCCTAAAACGGGTGGCACGGGGCAGGAGCGCGGGGGACGGCGCGCAGCCCCCAGGGCGCCACGACGGGGCAGCAGGGGGCCGCGCGCGCCCCCCAGGGCGCCGCGACGGGGCAGCAGGGGGTCGCGCGCGGCTCCCCAGGGCGGCGCGACGGGGTAGCGGGGGCCGCGCGCGGCTCCCCACGGCGCCGTGACGGGATTGCGGGGGGGGTGCCGCGCGCGTCTCCCCAGGGCGCCACGACGGGGCAGCGGGGGGCCGCGAGCAGCTCCCCAGGGCGGCGCGACGGGGCGACGGGGGGCCGCGCGGTGGTTTTCCGGGCGACGCGACGGGCTCCAGGGGGGGCGACGCGACCGTCGACGGGGGGGGACGCGCGGGTCCCCGGGGTGACGCGCGAAGAATGAAGCCGCCACGCGCCTCGGGGCGCACGGCGGGCAGAAAACCGCCATGCGCCCCGAGCGCGTGGCGGGAAGAAAAAAAGCGTCGCGCGCCACGGGGCGCGCGACAGACAGGAAGGCAGCGGAAGCAAGTGGGGCCCACAGGCCAGGACTTAACAGTCTCTGATTACATGTCAGAAGAATGAGTAGAAAGTTTAGAAACAGAAAGAGGGGGTTCACTAGCAGCAGTTGGGATACATATAGCAAACCCTAATTGGGCTGTACTCGCTATAGAGCACCCCACTGCAGGCTAGATTATATAACATTCTGATAGATATGCCGTTTCCTTTAAATATAAAACGTTGGCATGTACAAATCGACACTACAATCTACCCAATCCAGCTTGGCCTACTGATCATACTGCACTGCTAGTAGATGTATCGGTTTGGGCTGCTTGTTAGTATTGCCTGCAAGAAAACATAACGAGCTCGAAATTGTAAAACATGCAAATCAAGTATGCATTTCTGCACTCACCAATTAGTTATATTGGGGTTGGTATGCAGAAATGGTTACACAAATATACCATGCGATTCTGCTTGTCGATAAGCCAGCAAAAACACTCATTCCCTGCAAAACATGCAAAAACACCCTGCTGTTACGCATCCCGCAGAAATTGCTCCGCCGGGGTTAGTGTAAGAAAATGTTGCTACTTAGCAAACGACACATACTTAACAGATGCAGAGTTAGTCGCGGTTGCCCGAGCGACAATGGTTACACACGGGATGACTGAGATGCCGGTGCGGCAGGCTTGGTCGCACCCGTAATGGAAGGCGCTGCCAACGTAAAAAACTATGAATAAACACGTGGAGATGCAAACATAGGACACATGGCGCTAAGTGATGAGCTTACAGAACGGAGAACACACGGCAACCCAGTCAAAAGCGTAGGAAAAAACATATACCTCACCAAAAATACTACTTACCTAACATCTCGCACTGCTGGCAGCCAATAGAAGATCGCACGTCTGAAATGGAGGTTAGAAAGGGGGCGAGTGAGAGGGAAAGAGTGAAAACAGGAGAGGAAACACACAAGCCGAGCGATGCGCACTGTACAGAACCGTCGAACAAGACATGTAGAGCAGTTGATCAATGATGAAAAAACGTATACCACACGAGCGAATCCAAGACTTTTCGCATCGTTCAAAGAAGAAAAACAAACAAACATACCTGCCGGAATGCATCTTAGCATCACTACGTGCTCCGAAATCCACCGCGGAAACGCAGCAACTCGATGATCTGCAAAGGGGAATGGGATGTTGTGAGGGGTGGAGGAGAGTTTAGAATGAGGAGTCAGGAGGACTTCTGAATGACCTACAGTTGAAGCTAGTAAGGGTCTTCGAACAGAACGAAAATAAACACAGGGTTGCAGTATGTACCTGCAAGGAAGGAATACAGGTGAGAGGGAGAGGAAGAAGAATCTGTTGGTCAGAGGTGTGGTCTGCTGATGTGGCGATATTGGAGGTTGGGGGTTGATTGGGTGGCGGTTGGTCTGGTTTGGTGTGCTGACGTGAAGATAAGGGAGGGGAGGGATTGATCGATTGTTTACAAATGATTGGTTGCTAAAATTTGTTTGGCTCACACGTCAGACTGTAGAAGAGGTTTCGGTTCAGTTTGGAACCAAAGCGAAAAAGTAGTATCCACATGTACAACCTCGCTAGATTTCGTGGAATCGTTTTGTTTCGTTAAAATAGTTGTTCCCATCTCAAACTCATTGTCACTGTGCGTAACCGCTTTAAACCACGCGGAACTGTGGACGCGACATTCCAGACACTTTCGAGTGACTTTTTTGTTAGCGGACAAACGGACGTTACCACTGGCGCCCATGTATCCAAATGGGTGTGCAATTTTTTGGCAACCCCCCGCAGCTTTCTGGCAACATTTTCGCAGAAAAACCTTCGGAGCCCCAATTTCGACATTTTCCTTTTCCGCGATGCAGCAGCAGCAGCAAGGAGGAGCAGCTGCAGCAAGTAGCGGCAGCAGCAGCAAGGAGGAGCAGCTGCAGCAAGTAGCAGCAGCAGCAGCAAGGAGGAGCAGCTGCAGCAAGTAGCAGCAGCAGCAGCAGCAAGGAGGAGCAGCTGCAGCAAGTAGCAGCAGCAGCAGCAAGGAGGAGCAGCTGCAGCAAGTAGCAGCAGCAGCAGCAAGGAGGAGCAGCTGCAGCAAGTAGCAGCAGCAGCAGCAGCAGCAAGGAGGAGCAGCTGCAGCAAGTAGCAGCAGCAGCAGCAGCAAGGAGGAGCAGCTGCAGCAAGTGGCAGCAGCAGCAGCAAGGAGGAGCAGCTGCAGCAAGTAGCAGCAGCAGTAGCACCCAGGAGAAGGCGCACAGCAGCAGCAGCAGCAGTAGCTCAGGTGCAGTAGCAGCTCAGGCGGCGCAGCAGCATCTCTGGTGCAGCAGCGCGCTAGCAGTTCGCGGGCAGGGCGAGCAGCGCGCGGGCAGCAAATGCAGTGCGCGAGCAGCAGGGGCAGCGCGCAAGCAGCGGGCGCAGCGTGCGGGCTGCAGGACAGGGCGTCGCGCGGGCTGGGCAGTGGGGCGCGCGTGACTAGGTAGATAAAATCGTCTCGCCTAGGGGACGGGACGCGCCTAGGGCAGAAAAATCGTCTCGCCTAGGGCGCGTTTCGGGTAGGATAAAAGACGGGACGCGCCTAGGGGCGCGACTCAGGCAGCAGAGCGAAAATTGAACGGTGGGCCCAAATCCGGTCCTAAGGACCATAACGCTCTTAATACCATGTTAAACTAAGAGAAGAGGAATGATGTCGACTAGGTCAAGGGGGGGTACACGTAGAATGACGAGAGAAAGGTTGTACCCCCTAAGATGCATCTCACTATTAGCTAAATAAGAACTATGATATAACTTTGACAGGGACCACTTGCACCCAAGCACGCACTCAAACTGCTTGAGTTCACAAAGAAAGGGACACAAGTACTCCATAGACACTCTAAATCCTTCAAGAGCCATAACATTGGAGATCAACACAGATGTAACACTGTTACAATGCTGCCTGGCGCTACTACAACGTGACCATTACTGTACTTAAAGCTTTAATAAGCCTCAAGAGCAACCACATTAGAGATCAGTACAGATGTTACACTGCTTCCTGGTGCCACAACAAGAAAAGACGGTGGCATAGCTTCATGGTTCTCTGACAAAACACGGCTCCCCGTCTCTGTATAAGACGTCCTGTACACCTCAATAGAAGCCGCGGTAGCCTGGTTGTACACTCCAAAAGAGGACATCGAAAGCGTTACGTTGTAATCCGCTGAGTCTTGATTCACGATGAATACTGACAACAGGTGCCGCCCGGGATGGAAAAAGGCGGCTACAGAATGATGACACCCCTCAGATGAATCGATTTTCAAGGGGAAACTCCCCTTGGGAGCCCCTCGAATAAATTGCCATAACACATAATATTTTTTGGAAAACGTAACTTGTAACGGCGGAGCGGAGGAATTGTTGATGCGGTTATAAGGGATAACGAAGAGACCCCAATTGAGGGCAGAAGGGTCATTCTGATCCTCCTTATTAATCGCTTGCCAGAAAATCCAAGCCGACGCGCCCAGTATATTCACGGACTGAATAATACACCTTGCAATAAACGCGGTTACCGCCATATCGTCACCGGTTACGAAAAGCGGACCCATTTCCGACACCCACACCTCCTTCCCCAAGGCCTGTGCCCTTTCCCTTAAAGGACCAAACTTGCCTTCGATATAATCACGTGCGTTTGTGCCGTTTTCCGGGGGGGGGAACGTACCCATGCACGTTGATACGGGTCAGTGAGGATTTGACTAACGGCGAAAACTCCTCCCAATTTCGAAAGGTACGCCCGGCAAAACTGTCGAAACCAGCGACTCCTGTCCGGTCGAACAGCCGTCTCCTTTTAAGCGTCCCCACCACATGCGCTATAAGCATATTGAGCTCCGTGCCGTTAAAGTTACACCCCTCCTGCCGGTTACCGCGCACCCACCACCCTTCTAGCGCCTCATTGGCCGGATTCAGCGTCGAGAACGTTACGTTCCACTCCTCCCGGAAATGAGCGACCACATCCGCTAAATACCCCGCGTACGCTAAGTAATACCCTCTTTTAAGTTGCTCTTACCGATACTTAGCCCCGCGGTATCCCCACTGACAGTCATCCACCAAGGAGGAGAGTAAGCCACTGCCTCTACCTCATCAACTCCCCGCTCGATCGCTCCGGCCAGTACCTTCCGCTGCCGCCAATCCGCCGACCAATCGTACGGCGCGGATGCGGTTACCCGGTAACCAGGAATCGCCATGGCTTCGCAGGCTTCTGTGAGGAACTGGGGGCTGAGGAGGGGGTTGAAGCTGCCCCCGATGAGGTATCGGGCGAGGTTCAACCCGAGGCCGATGGAGGGATGGAAGAGCAGGTCGAGGAGGAAAGTGAGCTGATGAGGTGGGAGCTTGCCTATGTAGTTGGCAAACCTGAGAGACAAACGATAGAGAGAAGAGAAGATGAGGGGGACTGGTAAGTAGTGTGAGTGGAGCGGTATTGGAGGTAGGGAGGAGGGGGTTGAAGCTGCCCCCGATAAGGTATCGGGCGAGGTTCAACCCGAGGCCGATGGAGGGATGGAAGAGCAGGTCGAGGAGGAAGGTGAGCTGGTGTGGTGGGAGCTTGCCGATGTAATTGGCGAACCTGGGGGGTTGAATGCGGTGAAGAGGGTTGAAAAGGGGAAATCAGGGGGTGGAACGAGGTGCAGATAACCAAGAGGTACGAGGTTCAGCCCGAGGCCGATGGAGGGACGGAAGAGCAGGTCGAGGAGGAAAGTGAGCTGGTGAGGTGGGAGCTTGCCGATGTAATTGGCGAACCTGGGGGGTTGGGGGGCGAATGGAGGAGGAGGAAATTAGGGAAATGGTGGAGGTGGGAGGATGAGGTGGAAGGGGAGGGAAGGGACAAAGGACAGAGAAGAGGGAAGGGGACAAAGGGAAGAGAGGAGGGAAGGGACAAATGGCAGAAAGGAGGGAAGGGGACAAAAGGCAGAGAGGAGGGTAAGGCGACAAAGGCCAGAGAGGAGGGAAGGGGGCGAAGGACAGAGCCAAGGGAACAAAAGAGCTTGGCTAGGAGGTGCCCCAACCCCTGGACCACTCATCACCATACCAAACCCATCCCACGTTCTTACCATCCCAAGGAAGTGCCCCATCCTCTCCACGTCTGCCCCATGCGTGCAGGGGAGATGCGCACTTCAGCATAGCCTGGAATTGCAGAAAGGAAGGGATACAGTGGGGTGCAGTGCGGTGGGATGCGGTTGAGAACGAATTATGCACTCATCGGTGCCCCCTCCTCTCCACGTCTGCCCCATGCGGGCAGGGGAGATGTGCACTTGAGCATGGCCTGTGATCGCAGAAAGGAAGGGATGCAGTGGGGTGCAATGCGGTGCGATGGGATAAGGAGCAAACAGCATGAGAGTGGCGCGAGGAACAGAAAGACATGGCGTGGGATGGGGAGAGATGGGGTGTGATGGAAAGAGTTTGGGTTAGATGGAATGAGACGGAATGATCAACGTGCTACTACCCCAAAACAGAAATTCTTGAGACGCCGCAAAGCTTGAAAATTTTGCATGAAACTCCGAAACTGAAGACTGGAAAGAAGAATCCCAATGTAACATGTCTGGAAGGATCCCAAATTGGTTTTCAGATGACTCAGGACCCACACGCTTACTCTGAAGCAGTTTTCTCACCTGCCGATGTGTGAACTGCGAGAATCTAAATCTGGTGATCAGATGATTCAATACCCAGCTCTTTAGTCTGAAGCGGCACCCTTACCTGCTGGTGTGAAGACTGCGAGAATCTAAATCTGGTGATCAGATGATTCAATACCCAGCTCTTTAGTGTCTGAAGCGGCACCCTTACCTGCTGGTGTGCAGACTGTGAGAATCTAAATCTGGTGATCAGATGATCAATACCCAGCTCTTTAGTGTCTGAAGCGGCACCCTTACCTGCTGGCGTGCAGACTGTGAGAATCTCGGTCTTGGGACGAAGCCTTCCGATGTCCTTTTCGCCAATTTTACCCTCGCTATTGTCATCCTCGCTATTGTCATCCTCGCCATTGTCATCCTCGGCCACTTTCACAATAAGCCTCTGTTTCTCCTCCGGCCTTCCAACGGCAGCCATGTCCGGAACCACCCTTCCCCACCCTCCTCTCTTCCCTTCCAATCCCCGAATCTCTCCGCTTCCTCTATCCTTCCCACATCCTTCCCTGTTCTCGCAATTGACATCCTCGGCGTCGGCCATTGTCACAACGGCAGCCATGTCCGGAACCACCCTTCCCCACCCTCCTCTCTTTCCTTCCACTCCCCAAATCTCTCCGCTTCTCGTCGCGTCTGCTTCTGTTGGAGCCTTCTGGAGTTTCTCTTGAATTTCGGAATACTGTTCACGCTCCGTGGGAGTGTCGGAACCGTAACCTTCCCGTCTCCTCGTCGCGTCTGCTTCTGTTGAAGACTTCTGGAGTTTTTCCTGAATTTCGTGATTTGGTTCACGCTTCGCGGGGGTATCGGAAGCGTAACCTTCCGGAGGCATTAAAAGAATCTGATTCTGTTTTTGGTCGACATCACTCCGGAATTCGCGGAGGTCGTGGGTAGCAGCCGTGGCGGCGCACACGCGTAGTGGAGGAAAACGTGCGACAGCGAGCGCTAGGAGCATGAGGAAAATCGTCGTCTGGCGACTCTGTGCGACAAAAGGAGCCATTTGGCTACTGCGTGGAGGAGAGACAACTCCGCGTTGAGGAGTGAAAGCCCTGCGTACGGGAGTGAAAGCCATTTATCTCGCTTTCTTCATTCATCGGTCGTGATATGTTTCTAGTTGGTGATGATTCGTGCTACCACAGTCACCACCACAGTCACACCATCCCCCCCTTGAAGTTGCCATGCCAACATCATCGAGAGAACCGACGTCGAGGACCCATTTATTATCCTCGTGTCCTTGCAAGCAGGATGTAACGAGTGTGACCCCGATGCGAAACTTTCAGGTGTTACGCGTTTAGGCTGCGATTCAGAGGTTTTTATAGCTTCTTGCATGTTTTAGAAGGTGACTCATGTGACTGGTCCGCCCCGACCTGGTCCGTTGCAAAAAAATGCATGCCTGGTCCGCAATTCTGGTCCGACGGACCAGCATCGCGGACCAGCCGTGGACCAGACACGAGCTGGTCTACATGATACTTCGCGTCACGGGCCGCACAGTACTTGCGAAGAAAAAAACAGTTACGACAAAAATCAGACATGTTGAAATCGAGTTACCTCTATTTTCGGCCCGGAAGAAACCCCCCATCCCGTCAGGAGCAACAATCACGAACAGTGAGAATTTTCGCAAACAAATATGTGAGCTGCTACAGTAACGGACCAGGCGCGGACTGGTATGGCGACCAACTCAATGGCACCGCTGTGTGCCATTTTTTTGCCTCGCAGCTCGGTCCAGTCCGTCGCTGGTTCACTCGATGGTTATCGAGCTGGTCCGCCAGATCCGCGTCGGACCCACGTGGACCCGCGCATTTGAGACACGTCCTTAAAGTGGTTTTGGAAGGTACCTGCTTTGCACTGAACAGAACACTCTCGCGGTTCAACCAAGCACAAGGTCCTGCAAAGACAGACTTTGAAATCAGGGCGGATTCCAAGACTTCGGATTTGTGAGACCAACCAGCACAGTTACACCACTTTTACAAATAAATACAGAATTAACATTAATACATTAAAATATTGTCAAACTAAGGTTAAGAAGTTCTCCACCACTGTGAAATCGCCATAGCAAGGGTCAGACCACTCCTACCAGCCCGTTTGTTCCAGTCCGGATATGCAGCCATGCAATGCGCGTCATCCGTCACAACAAAAGCGGATTTGCTCCTATGAGTAGCACTAGCTCTTGCAACGACATTATTTATCGTCGTGCGTAATGTAAGTCGATATTGCTCCAAGGATCGTAACACGGGTGCAGAACACACCCTGTTCACTCCTGGAGTCATACACCTCTCAAGTGTGTTGTTGTCTGGGAGTCGAGGTGGGGAGAATGAAATCCCGGCTCCGACTTTATCATATGTGCTTTGCACAATAAACATGGGTGTTGAAACGTATTGGAGGTTGTACTGTGGGAAAAAGCAACGCCAGAGCTCCTTACTGCGCCAGTAAGCTGTTGATGGGGGAATGGCAATGGGGAAAGTAAAAGTTAGAGCACGAGGAACATGGAAAAGAAGATGAAAGACTAGGGAGCGGGAAGGGAGAAGGGAGGAGAAACGGAGTATGAACGAAAAAGGAGAAAGCGAAAGGAGTGAGATGACGGATGAGATCAGGACTGGCCAAGGGAAAGCAGTGTGAATGGCGAAATTAAAGGAGATCTGGGAAGGGATACATGTCAAGTTTATTGTTTTAAACGTACCAGAGCGACAGTCGTCATCAGCAGCAGCAGTCATGGAGTGGAATCGGAGCACAGTGCCAGAATCAATCACCTTTGCCAGGATATGAGGGGAAAAAGATCAGTGTAATGCCTAGAACATACCCGTGCGGCAGTCGTCGTCAGCAGCAGCAGTCATGGAGTGGAATCGGAACATTCGCTGCACAATGCCTCTGAGGCTGTACTGATTGCTGATGTCTGGGGTATCTGGGGGAAGGAATGAGAGAACAAGAGGGTGGACGAGAGGAAACAACGAGCAGAAAATGAGAAGGACTGCACATTCTGAACCGCCAACTTGTTAATAAGAGGAAAATATATATTAAACTGTATACAACTCTAGAACTTTACACATTTCTAGATGTATGGGTGTACATACCCATGAAGAAGCCAGCGTCCATGAGGCATTTGACTTTGGCCGTGCGAGGGAAGTGGAATTGCGCCATGGCATCACACGCCATGGACACTGCTATAGCGCCAGCGGAGCAGCCTGTGAGGAGGACGGAATCAGCTCGCTGCATGCCCTTGTTGTTGAGATCTGGGGGGAAGAGAACGTGGGGTTGGGGTGAAAGAGCAAGGAGGGTGAGCAAGGGGGGACATGGAATGGGCTGGGCTGTGTGGGGAGCAAGGGAAGGACAATACATTTCGCCCCAGCCCAGCCCTCCCCCATTTCCCCAGGCTGGGCATGGGGGAGGGCTGGGCTGGGGAGGGCTGGGCTGTGGCTGGGAACCTTGTTCGAATTTAGATGAAGGGAACGAGGGGATGGAGGGAAAACGGGAGGGGGTGGGGAAGCAGAGCACATAGCAGGGTGTGGGAAGGGGAAGCAGAGCACATAGCACATAGAAGATGGCTGAAACAACATGATTGGGGTGGGGGTACGGGAGAAGATTAGCCTTATGTGGCATGTGTGGTATGTGTGCTGTAATGGTAAGGCTTAGCCATAGGTGATTTACGCGTCAAGTGGAGAGTCATGTGGGATTGTGCGGGAATGGTGGAGGGCGGGGGTGGATTAGCCATATGGGGTACCGCTGCACACCCGAGAGCCATGTGAGGTATGTGTGCGGATTAGCCATGTGTGGTATGTGTGCGGATTAGCCATGTGTGGTATGTGTGCGGATTAGCCATGTGAGGTATGTATGCGGATTAGCCATGTGTGGTAAGTGTGCGGATTAGCCATGTGTGGTATGTGTGCGGATTAGCCATGTGTGGTATGTGTGCGGATTAGCCATGTGTGGTATGTGTGCGGATTAGCCATGTGTGGTATGTGTGCGGATTAGCCATGTGTGGTATGTGTGCGGATTAGCCATGTGTGGTATGTGTGCGGATTAGCCATGTGTGGTATGTGTGCGGATTAGCCATGTGTGGTATGTGTGCGGATTAGCCATGTGTGGTATGTGTGCGGATTAGCCATGTGTGGTATGTGTGCGGATTAGCCTTGCGTGGTATGTGTGCTGCAGTGGTAAGCTTAAGGTGACTTCTGTGTCAACTCACAGGTGAATTTGGGATTGTGGGGAAATGGGGGAGGGCTGGGCTGGGGTGGATTAACCATATGTGGTATCTGTGCAGCAGCAGCAGTAAGCTTTATGGTGTATTTGTGTGCTATATTGGCTTGCACTCCCCTCAACAATCCTCCCAATACCACGTTCTCTAAACCGAGTTACATTCGTAAATTTTCAATAACTGGTCCTCTGGTTCCCTAGATCTTGATACATAGTTGTTCCCTATAGGCTGCGATAACAAAAACGTTACTCACCTCCCAGGATCGAGTTCAGAATAGGTCGTCCGGAGAGATAGTACGGTTGAGAGTGGTCGTAGAGCATTTTTCCCTTCACCCCAGCGAAAACACCCCCGTCGCAATATAGCACGACCACCGTGTTCCAGGAGTAGAAGAGAGGATTTTCCGACGAATCGCCGCTCAGCATGCCCTGAAACCCCGCTCCCATGCTGTCAATCTGGTGGGGGGGATGGTGGGGACGACGAACGGGGGAGGAAATGCATACAGTACAGTACACATTGAGAGAGTGACAAGATGCACCCCCGTCGCAATACAGCACAACCACTGTGTTCCAGGAGTAGAAGAGCGGATTTTCCGACGAATCGCCGCTCAGCATGCCCTGAAACCCCGCTCCCATGCTGTCAATCTGGTGGGGGTGGGGGGGATGTGTGGGAGGGAGTGGATAAGGGAAGGCATAGAGTACACAGTGAGACAGAGAGAGGGGGAAGAGACACGCCTCCATTGCAATACAGCACAGCCACGGTGTTCCAGGAATAGAAGAGCGGATTTTCCGACGAATCGCTGCTCAGCATGCCCTGAAACCCCGCTCCCATGCTGTCAATCTGGTGGGGGTGGGGGGGATGTGTGGGAGGGAGTGGATAAGGGAAGGCATAGAGTACACAGTGAGACAGAGAGAGGGGGAAGAGACACGCCTCCATTGCAATACAGCACAGCCACGGTGTTCCAGGAATAGAAGAGCGGATTTTCCGACGAATCGCTGCTCAGCATGCCCTGAAACCCCGCTCCCATGCTGTCAATCTGGTGGGGGGGAAAAGGTAGAGTCCGGAGAGATAGTACAGTTGAGCCCAGGTCTGTGTCGGCCCGTAGCCGGCACTGACTGACTGACTGAATTACTGACTGACAAACTGACGGACTTGACTGGCTGACTGACTGACTTGACCAACCGGTAACGGCACTCACGTTGCTTTCAAACCCTGGATCCCCGGGCCTGGGCCAGCCCTTGGTTGAGCCCAGGTCTGTGTCGGCCCGTAGGCGGCACTGACTGACTGACTTGACTGACTGACTGAGGGAGAGGAGGGTTGAGTCCACACAAATACCAGCAATAGGACTCACGGTGTTTTCAAAGCCTGGATTCCCGGGCCTGGGCCAGCCGTTGGTTGAGCCCAGGTCTGTGTCGGCCCGTAGGCGGCATTGACTGACTGACTTGACTGACTGACTGAGGGAGAGGAGGGTTGAGTCCACACAAATACCAGCAATAGGACTCACGGTGTTTTCAAAGCCTGGATTCCCGGGCCTGGGCCAGCCGTTGGTTGAGCCCAGGTCTGTGTCGGCCCGTAGGCGGCACTGACTGGGGGAGAGGCACCAGCGCCCGCCCTGCAGAAGAGCGGGCAGGTGTGACAAGGAGTGGGGAGGAATAGGAAGGTGTGGGAATCAGTGGGAGAGGAGCCCGACTTGTGCCAGCCGTTGGTGGATCCCAGGTCTGTGTTGGCCCGTAGGCGGCACGGCACTGACTGGGGGAGAGGCACCAGCGACCGCCCTGCAGAGGAGTGGGGAGGAGTGGGAAGAGGTGTGAAGTAGTGGGAAGAGGTGGGAGAAGGTTCAGGTGTAAGCGAGCATTGGTGGATCCCAGCTCTGTGTCGGCCCGTAGGCAGCACTGACTGGGGGGGAGGCACCAGCGACTACCCTGCAGGGGAGGAGTGGGGAGGGATGGGGAGGAGTAAGAAGGAGGGGTGGGAAGAGAAGAAGGGAGGGGAGGGAATGAGGAGACGGAAGGAGGGTATGGAGAGAGGAGACGGGAGTGGGGAGGGAAGGATGGGAGGGAAGAATGGAAGGGAAGAATGACCATGGGTGGATGACCTCCTCATCAAGCGGGCAAACTTCCGAGGCGCCTAAAAAAATGAGACCACTCTTGACTTTTGAGGCGTGTCGAAATTGGGTGGGTGACCTCATGATGACCATGGGTGGATGACCTCCTCTCCTCATCAGGCGGAAAAACGAATTTATCTGCCCGTTTTATATTCTCATTCTTGCCAACAGAAATGGGTCTTATAACGACCCCCCTCCCTCTCTCCCCGCTCACCTTTGCAAGCCAGCTTATAACGAGACATCAATCACCATGAGCCAGCTTATAACGAGACATCACTCACCATGAGGTATATAAGCCACTTGTTTGCTCCGAGGCCGTACCCAGGACGGAAGTAATACGCCGGGGGACTGCACAGGCAGATGGGGGAGAGATGCGGGTGGATGGGGGGAAATGAGGGTGGATGGGGGAAAGATGCGGGCGGATGGGTGGGAGATGCGGGCGGATGGGGGAAGATGCGGGCGGATGGGGGAAGATGCAGGCGGATGGGGGAAGATGCAGGCGGATGGGGGAAGATGCAAGCGGATGGGGGAAGATGCAGGCGGATGGGGGAAGATGCAGGCGGATGGGGAAAGATGCAGGCGGATGGGGGAAGATGCAGGCGGATGGGGGAAGATGCAGGCGGATGGGGGAAGATGCGGGCGGATGGGGGGAAATGAGGGCGGATGGGGGGAAATGAGGGCGGATGGGGGGAAATGAGGGCGGATGTGGGGAAATGAGGGCGGATGGGGGAAAATGAGGGCGGATGGGGTAGATGAGGGCGGATGGGGGGAGATGAGGGCGGATGGGGGAGGATGCGGGCGGATGGGGGGAAATGAGTGCGGATGGGGGGCAATGAGGGCGGATGGGGGAGATGAGGGCGGATGGGGGAAGATGCAGGCGGATGGGGGAAGATGCGGGCGGATGGGGGAAGTTGCGGGCGGATGGGGGGAAAATGCGGGCGGATGGGGGAAGATGCGGGCGGATGGGGGAAGTTGCGGGCGGATGGGGGAAAAATGCGGGCGGATGGGGGGAAGATGCGGGCGGATGATCCTTGAACCATTCGTTTGCTCTGAATTCTTCAGAAATCCAAGCGGCAGAGTTGCATAGAACATCAACCAATGCAGCCAATCCTAAACACGAAACGTTTCCTTGTCGTTCTGCGCAAATGCTCACTCCGCCGTCAAACCACACACTCTGCCACCACCCAGTCGCCCACTCTGCCGTCCACCAGCCACCTACCCAGCCGCCCACAAGCCACCCGCCACCCACCTGCCGTCCAGGCAAGTCGCGTTGTTCGCCGTCGTCAGCCGCACGAACTGAATGGGCGGCGGAGCCGCCCGCGGCACGGGTCGAGTCGGGGTCCCGCTGCGCCTGCCTGTCCGCCTCTTGCTCGAGCCGCTGCTACTCCGCTTACCCGCGTTCCCCGACTGCCTCCCCGCGTTCTCCGGCTGCCTAGTCGCGTTTCCGGACTGCCTCCCCGCGCCGCTGGTTGCGCGTCTGGGGCGAAGCGGTGGCGGCGCGGCGCGCTTTGAGCCGGCGGAAGCGGGGGCGCTATTCCTTGTCGTATTCGAAGCGCGGCCTGCTTGCGCCGGATCCCCGCTTTTGCGCGCCCCCGCGCCGATCGGGGGCGCGGGAACAGTTCCCCGCGTGGGAAGGTCTTTCCGCGCAGGCGGAGACTTCCGCGCAGGCGGAGACTTCCGCGCAGGCGGAGGCGTTCGCGCAGTGCGGTTGACACTTCCGCCAACGCGGCTTTTTATCGCTGGCGGGGGAGATCGCTCCAGCCTGTTGTTCCCCCGCCGTGCGACCACGGATGTGGATTGAGACGCGCCGATATCCGCGGTAGTATCAGCTACGTTATCCGCGACAATATCCTGGCCATCGTGTTCGGAAGTATTTGTTTGGATGTTAGAAATCGACTCCGCGTGATCCATCGCGCTGCTAGTTCCGTTTCGGCGGCCGGTGTGACGCCTGGGAGCATGCCCGTGTCGGGGTCGTTCACCCGCAATTGGCTTGGAGGAAAGCGACTGCGAAAAGGCTAACGTAGATGTTACCACGGCCGCGTTGTTATGTTCGCTGTCGTGTGAGGCGGCGGCGGCAAGGTAAGAGGGGCGAGATTGGCGGTATGCGCTAGGAGAGCGGGGAGAGTTGGGGGAGAAGAGAGAAAACGGGGAGAAGGGAGAGAGGCTAGGAGGGCTGTGTAGAAGCAGGAGAGACAGTAGGAGGACGGTCTCTGACGGGAAAGCGAACGGGCATTGACGCCGGTTGAGGCGGCGTGACGGAAACGTGGACGGAGTTCGACGAAGATTGAGGTCGAGGGGATATGAAAAAAGTGGTCTTTTTCTGAGAATACGGCTACCATTGCAGCGACTTAGTTGAATCAACATCGTGCTATTTATTATTGAGCGCTTTTTCGTCCGATCGACGGTCAGAAGGAGACGTACCGAAAGACCTAACTACCTCCACCCCTTCTCGCTGCCGGCTCTGCCCCTTCTTATTCCCCCCCTAAGTCCGTCGATCCGGATTAAGTTTCGGGCCGGTAATAAAAAGCTCTTTTTGAATCGAATGTTACAGCAGGGGCAGTAATAGTTGTCATGAACAACGTAAAGTAGTCGTTAGATGCTCAATGCGCATGTCTATGGAATAGCGTCAGACGCTCGTTGAGCATGTCTAGAGAGAAATCGTCGCTATATGCTCTGAGAGCAGGTTTAAAGTATGCTCGTTAGATGCAACATGAACTGCATCTCTCGAATAAGGTCCCGACGATGGCATCATAGCATCTCGCGGTAACCATTGCCCGTCATGCGCAACGATACATCGCGTTAGCTATTAAACATCTAAGCTGCAAACCCGTCACAATGACATGACATTCCACGCCAACAGTTCGACTTGCGAGTAATTGCGCGCAGCTGTCGATGCCGATGGCCAAATATTGTGCCGTCCTAGCTGATCAAGAAAGCCGTCGCGCTTGATACCTCTTGGCTGCTGCAGCCTCACGACGACGCAACTCACGACTCGTGCCACACGACGGCAGGAGTAAATGCAGAAACACAACACAGGCCACTCGTGCAGTATTGTGGGTGGTTGAACACTCACACGACTGCATAGTGGAAGGAAAAAATGTTTGCGGGGCGCGGATGCGACTCGGCATGGATATCCAAATGAAGGCATTGGGCGCCACGGGAAAGTCACACAACCAAGCGACCGACCCATGGAGGGGATGGCAGGGGGGGACTGCTCTGCGCAACACAGCACGAAATCTGGGTTTCTCTGCCCCCACATTTCTCTGCTCTGACACTGGGATAGTGTCAGCCAATTCCACGCATCTGATTGGCGAAGAGCATAGGTTACGCGGTACAGTATTCTATGCCTTGTAAAGCAGAAGGGGTATACAGTTCTCGTACTGGAGATGTCTTACCTTTATTTAGTCTAATATACAGCCTTCCTCTCCATCAAATTCTAGGCTGAACTCGTATCTGAAGCACATGTCAACAATCCAAACGAATATACAATCCATTATATACAAACCAAAATGTACACAAGTCACAATAATATATACAAGCAAAACCTAGTAGAGCCATATGTACATCATGGCAAAGCGATAACAACCTACCATATGTGCACCTCGCTTTCCTTTACAATCGAATCCTTTGTGCCCTAGTTTCCACGATGAATTGTGGGCACATGCTCAGGGCGTGTCCAGCGCGTACATTTTGGGAATATTAGTACCTTCACACGTTTCCCGGCTCAAAATATCTCACTGTACCAAAAAAACGAATATAAGGCAAGTCGAGTCCGAAGGAGTGGGCCTTCCAGCGCGCGGACACAACCCTCTGCACACAAATTTCTACAGTTCGTGGAAAACGAGGTAACTGTTTGCCTCGTCTATCATCGCACAGAAATTCACGCACAAGCGAAAATTCCTCGCTTGAACGAAAATTACTGTAGCGGGCAGGACGCAATGCTGTATCATTGTTCGCGCGTACACTCATTCCAGTAACGTGTGTTAGACGATTCGTCGTACGTGCAGCGGGCGTGCCGTTTTGTGTACGGAAGCTGATCTTGTCCAACCTTTTTGTAAAATGCAGTGTTACAAAAGAAAATGTGGTAACCGAACGAGTTTATGAACTGTAAATGTACGCGCTGGACACGCCCTCAGAGGAAGTGAATGAGATCAGCCTTAGGCGATGCTGCAGGAATTGCAACTCCTAACCGCTGTGCTACCTGAATGCAAAGACGAGGGTTTGTTGGCGAAACAGGTTAGTGGATCTAAACACTGACACATCAAATGCGGAAAACATACGGAAAACAAATGCAGACAGAAAGTCCTAATCATCCACCCCTATCACATCACCAATAACGTCAATTCCTTGTTTCCAAGCAACTGCAGTATTTCCCACCCCCTTCTTCTGTCGCTATTTCCCATGCTCACAGCAAAGGAAATATCAGAGGTGTCCCATAAATCGTTCACCCATACATCGTTCACCCATAAATCGTTCACTCTATCTACCAAGCTCACCTCTACATGAGAGAGGATCCCATTTCCGCTCCTACCCAAAATGCCGCACACCCCACCTTGTTGGAAAACATACGAGTTTTAAGGCTCTTAATACTCTCCGACCTCACCTCTGTGACTGCTTTGCGCATGTCTTTGCTCCCACCCGCAATGCAGCACGCCAACGAATACCCCATGTTGGTCCAACTCCCCCCAGTTTCACCCACAGGAAGCTCTCTCCCATCCCCAGTTTTCCACACTCTCTCTCACCTCTGTGACTGCTTTGCGCATGTCTTTGCTCCCACCCACAATGCAGCACACCAACGAATACCCCGTGTTGTTCCAACTCTTTGTAAATACCCTCAGGTTCACCTATGCGAAGGAGTGCACGTTGTGGTTTCCGCCCAAGCTCTCTCCCACACTCTCTCTCACCTCTGAGAAGGATGTCACGTGTTCAAGAATCTCCCACCCTCTCCCTCACCTCTGTGAAGGAATGCACGACTTCGTTCCAAAGCCATGTCGCCCCGCACCCAGCCCTCCTCGCCCCCGCCTCGCTCCCGCCACGTCCTTATTCTGGCTATCCCCCACATGCACAGCCTCATGCAGTAGCACCCCCAGCATGTCACACGCCACCTTCATATCCCCATCCCCCCACCCTCTGTCTCACCTTTCTTCGTGGAATTCTGAGAGAAAACGAATCAGAAAACAAGTACCACCCTCTCTCTCACCTCTGTGAAGGAAGATACATCTTCGTTCCAAAGCCACGCCGCACCGCACCCGGCCCTCCTCGCCCCTGCCACGTCCTTATTCCGGCTGTCCCCCACATGCACAGCCTCATGCAGCAGCACCCCCAGCATGTCACACCCCTCACAGGCCACACATCACACCACCTAAACTCTCTCACCCTCTCTCTCACCTCTGTGAATGAATGCACATCTTCATTCCAGAGCCACGCTGCCCCGCACCCGGCCCTCCTCGCCCCTGCCACGTCCTTATTCCGGCTGTCCCCCACATGCACAGCCTCATGCAGCAGCACCCCCAGCATGTCACACCCCTCACAGGCCACACATCACACCACCTAAACTCTCTCACCCTCTCTCTCACCTCTGTGAATGAATGCACATCTTCATTCCAGAGCCACGCTGCCCCGCACCCGGCCCTCCTCGCCCCCGCCACGTCCTTATTCCGGCTGTCCCCCACATGCACCGCCTCATGCGGCAGCACCCCCAGCATGTCACACGCCACCTTTATATCCCCATCCCCCCACCCTCTGTCTCACCTTTGTTCGTGGAATGCTGAGAGAAAATGATTCAGAAAACAAGTACCACCCTCTCTCTCACCTCTGTGAAGGAAGATACATCTTCGTTCCAAAGCCACGCCGCACCGCACCCGGCCCTCCTCGCCCCCGCCACGTCTTTATTCCGGCTGTCCCCCACATGCACCGCCTCATGCGGCAGCACCCCCAGCATGTCACACGCCGCATGGAAAATCTCCTGGCTCGGCTTTTCCGCCTCCACTTCCGCCGAAACCGCGACGGCGTCGAACCAATCATAGCAGTCGAGCGCGCG